AATTTATTTATTATAGGTACTTATATAGTGCCGTCATTTTACACATATATTGTACATTCACATCAGTCCCTAACGTTTAAGTGGTGTACAATCTAAGGTCCCTAACCTCACATTCATACATACACATAATAAGGCCAATTTAGACAGGAGCCAATTAACCTGCCAGCATGTCGTTGGAGTGTGGGAGGAAACTGGAGTACCCGGAGGAAACCCACGCAGGCACAGGGAGAACATGCAAACTGCAGGCAAGTGGTGCCGTGGTTGGGATTCAAACCAACGACCCTAGTACTGCCAGGTTGAAGTGCTAACCATTTACAGGTAATCCCTATATAAAATGTTATAAAAAGAAAGTATATATCAAGAGCTAATGATCGCAATCAAAGTAATCACAATAAGCATAATAATAATGATGTTACCGACGATAATAATAGTGATCATTGAGCCAAAAAAATCTGCATTAGAAAGGTGTACTAACTGAGCCAAAAAAAACTGCTTTAGGAATTGCAAACGATAAAATTAATGATACTGACAATAATAATAGTGATCATTGAGCCAAAAGACTCTGCATTGAAAATGTGTGTAGGCTGTGCTAATAGGCCAGGTCTTAAGGAGTATATATAGGTGTGTATGTATATGTGTGACCAGGGGCGGACTGACAACTCATGGGGCCCCCGGGCAATAGGGGATCATGGGGCCCCTGTGTCCTTGCCCAAACTCAAAAAAGCCTATGAAAAAGGTACCGGGGCATCTCATGGGGCCCCCTACTGACGCCGTGCCCTCGGGCAGTGCCCGAGTTTCCAAATGGTCAGTCCGCCCCTGTCTGTGACATAAATCATTCCCATTTAATAGCGTGCACCAACAGGTCAGTCTATATATATATATATATATATATATATATATATATATATATATATATATATTATATATATATATATATATATATATATATAATTTTTTTTTTTTTTTTTTTTCTCTTTATATTCACACACGGCTTTACATTTTCCATCATTATCTATTCTCCCAGGTATCTTTCATATAGGTCAAAGCCTCAGAAGAACTCCTTAAATTAGAATGCAGACATATGTATGTTACAGATATATACCCCTTTAGACTTGACCTATACGCCCAATCTATATACATTTCCAATGCAGAGTCCAATAAGCAATTGAAAGTATAATGGTCACATAAAAAGTACCTTTTTATATGTTACAATCATTCTATTTGCTGAAAATCCAGTGTTGTTCCCCTTTAACAGAAGCGAGCACACATATTTGGAAAGTTGGCAGAGCTGCATGGAGTGTACATCCTGACACTGAAGATTAATGAAAGCTTGTTTGCTAGATTTATTTTTAGCTTAAAAGACATTTAAGTCTAAGTGTAGTGAAGAGAGACCTAAACTTGCTCCTGTATACTGTTGATATAATTCTAATTGGGGAATTTGCATTCCATGTTTTTTGTTTTTTGTTTTTTTGCTAGAGGGACTTATTTATCAAAGTTTCTGACATAAACTGCTGTTGCTAGGAAAAATAAAGATCGCTCATGGAGATGTTTTTGTTGTAGTGGGGCAGGATTAAATTCATCGCTGAATCTTCACTGTCCTCCAAGACCTCTGTAAGGAACGCTCCCCCAACATCGGCATTGATTGGATTAAAGTTTTCGGATGGGGAGGTGGATCCATTGGTATTGTGTGTAATGTAGTAGTAATTTGTCTTCGGTACATTTTATCTGCATTTTAATAGTAGAGAGGGTTCAATAGAAGAATAATAATGAAACCTAAAACACACAGTAATAATATCACAAGAAAGCTTGGCATGCCACATAGTAATATGTGTACAAGTATGACTTTGTTTCTACATAATGTTACACTTCAGTTAGCAAAAGTAACAAACTGATAAAAGAGTGATACAGATAGGTATAAATGAGTTAAGTAGCTCCATAGATTGACAGGTAGGTAGATATAAAATAATAAAGTAGATCCATAGATGGATAGGAAGATACATATAGATAGGTAGATATTAAAGAATAAAACCGATCCATAGATTGGTGGGTAGATGGTTAAGAATAAAGTAGATTTATAGTTGGATATAGATAGAGAGGAAGAGAGATATAGATAAGAATAAGTAGAATGGTAGATAGATAAAAAAAAATTAAAGCAGATAGAAAAGAATAAAGTAGATCCATGGAGAGAAAAAGAATAGGTAGGTAGATAGATATAAAAGAATAAAGTAGATCCATAGGTAGGTAGATGAGAATAAAGTAGGTTTGTAGATAGAGATAGAGGAAGAGAGAGATACAAAATAAAGTAGAATATAAATAAATAGATATGAAAAAAATTAAGTAGATAGATATAAAAGCATGAAGTAGATCCATAGATATAAAAGAATAGGTAGATAGATATAAAAGAATGAAGTAGATCCATAGATATAAAAGAATAGGTAGGTAGATATAAAAGAATAAAGTAGATCCATAGATATAAAAGAATAAAGTAGATCCATAGATATAAAAGAATAAAGTAGATCCATAGATATAATTGAATAGGTAGGTAGATATAAAAGAATAAAGTAGATCCATAGATATAAAAGAATAGATAGGTAGGTAGATATAAAAGAATAAAGTAGATCCATAGATATAATTGAATAGGTAGGTAGATATAAAAGAATAAAGTAGATCCATAGATCGATAAGAAACGCCACATTTGGCCACTAGCTAACACTAAGCATCAAAGAAATTTCCTTTGACGCCTATCTCCATCTAGTGGCCAATTCAGTATTTTCTCTTTTAAATCAGTGAAAGACTTTTGACTAGCACAGGAAATAGCTTAACGACATCTGTTCTTTTAACCTAGTTGCACTGCACTGAACAAATATACATGCACTTTTACTTGGTGAATTGCTTTTGTGCTGATTCACACATGTGCGGATTGATGCGCAGATTTCACAGCTAATTGATACAGTAGTTGTTCACTAGTTCATGTCAGGTTTACATCAGGTTCAGGACAGGATTAGATAAGGATCTTGTTCTCACACATTCGGTTTAGAAACGGTTCCCATAGAAGTCAATAGTCTGCAGTCCGCACCTGAACCTGATGGCACTGCTCGGAAATCGTACATGACTCTTTTTCAAGCTGCACTGAAACCACGCATATGTGAACAGGCACCATAGAAAGCAATGCTATGTAACATGTCATGCAGATTGGATGCGGTTCAAACCGCATCCAATCCGCATATATGAGCTGGCACTTAGTGTGTGTGTGTGTGTGTGTGTGTGTGTGTGTATATATATATATATGTATGTGTGTGTATGTATGTGTAATATATATATATGTGTGTGTGTGTGTGTGTGTGTGTGTGTGTGTGTGTGTGTGTGTGTATATATGTATATGTGTATATATATATGTATATATATACAATACACTTTTCTGTTATCATGCATTGTGTTATCTTGGGCTGTCCATGCTGTTTGTTCAGCACAGCACTGCTCTTTCTGTTATGGGAAGCAGGATGCAGAAGTTGAGGTTTCAGGTCACAGCAATGACCCCAGCTGGCGAACACTGTCATCTTCTTCTGGAAACTGTACATGTCCTTGAAGTTTGGTAACCGCAATTAATGAAAAGCACAGCGGGAGGGGAAAGGTCACATTCATAAGCAGCTCTGGGTAAGTCCTGGATTTGATAGGAGGCAGAGTCCAGCCATGGGCTGCAAACATTCACATGGAGCTGAAATCTGTCTTCAGTCCACTTCTCATTTTTTTTTTTTTACAGCAGAACTGAACAATATCCCATTTTATAGCTAATAGGTGCTGAAACATTCAATCAGATTACCTATTGTATTATCCCCGAACTGTCCTTCATTTAGAAGGACTGCTCCTTTTTGAGAAGCTCTGGTCGCCATTTCTCTTTTTTTTTTACTCTGCTGTAGAGATATGTAGTAGTAGTTTAACTTCCAAACTTGTATTTTTATATTTTTATATATTATATGTAACTTTATATTGCACAAAAGTTTTCATCTATCCTCTGGTTTATTGCTTTGGTTATTTTAATACTAATATAGGGGCTCATTCAGACGGGCGTTGACACCCCTCCTGCATGCTGAACCTCTCTTTAATGCATCTTCATCCACCTCAGAGCTGCATGCAGGCTGCCTATAGAAGTGGAAGCTGGCGCAACAGCTGCACGAACACAGCCACAGGAGTGGGTGCACAGATCCAACCATAGACCCTGTGCATGCATCTGTGTCCATATGTACTGCGTTTGCATCTACTTCTATAGGCTGCTTGTGGGTAGCTACAAGATGGATGCAGAGAACAGTGGCTCAGCACGCAGGAAGGGGGCCAATGCCCTTCTGAATGAACCCTTAAGAAAAATCAGTAAAATTGCCCCATTGCGTTTAAGGTACAAGAAAAAGGCATCCCAATTAAAGGGTAAGTTCACCTTTTGGAGCACATTACACCCATATTAAGGTGTAATATGTAACATGCTACAGCTCCTGCATCCCCTGGTTCCTCCAGTTCCTAATGACAGTGGGCGGAGGTCCTTCTCCCTGCACCTGCTGTCACATTTCAAAATCTGTGCAACTTTGCCGGGCTCTTCCCACACAGCCACATCGTTGGTTCACAGCAATCTGAATGAAGAAAGTACCAGTCCCATCATCCACCGTGGCAGATGGCTTGCAGTTCCAAATGAACTGCAAGGGCACCGACGAACACTCTCGTAGTTCATTGACATTTCCTCCATCTTTCAAAATGACAGCACATACAGAGGTACAAGCAAGAAAGCTGGAGGCAGTGTCTGAAGGAGGCTGACACTGCACCCACGATCTACTGATCATGGGTGCAATGCTCTGCAGAGTAATGGACCTGAATTTTAAGTTGTGCAACTCTAGACGTCCTTGTTTATGAGGCCTTGATTGTATGTTTTACAGAGCAAAGGGGAGCAAATAAGAGAGGTTCATAGTTATGTTTTACATAGACTTTAAGGGTGTACCCTGTCAATAATGTTGCTTTTCTATCTTGCAGTTTGTCCAGATGGGGACCTCGACACAGACACAGACGCAGAAAAGCAGATTGACAGTTTGTATCTTAAAGCTCTGGAGGGCTTCGTAGCTGTTATTACTCAGGATGGTGACATGATCTACCTGTCTGAAAACATCAACAAGTACATGGGTTTAACACAGGTGAGAAGACACGAGGACAACTTTCATTAATGTTTGGAAGTTCTTATGACTACATTGCATTTTCTTCTGCAATTGTACGATCTACATAAATTTTATATATATATATTGTGGGAACTCGCTTCAAAGTGGTAGAGCTTTTCATTTAAAGCACACAGCGACTCGCTTCTTTAAGGGCCTTTTTGCCCAATTTTATTTAAACAAATGTCCCATAACATAAAGCTTCCCACGCAGGGGTATCCACCATCAAACAAAACGATTCAGCCTCCTGGCTTATACTCAGCTTGATGTCTGTCTCCTGCAGACTACTTCAAGAATTATGGCTCTTGCACACAGCTGGCCACTAGCACACAGCTAGTCTCTAGCAGCCCCTTGCTGCTTTTGGCTTCCACCTCTCCTAGGTGAAGCCCACCTGACTTTCAGGCAGTGACCTCCTGTCTTCCAAGTGGAGCCCTCCTAACTGCTGGGGTGGAGCCCTCCTGACTCTTATCTGCCAGGGTGGAGCCCAGAACCCTGGTCCTGACTCTCTGAAAAGGCCTGCACAGACCTGTGCAATCAGTCTCCTGGACATTCCCAAAACCTTGTCCCAGGATTGGAGATTTCATCCCTCCCAGATCTCTTTGAAATTTCCAGGCTCCAGATCCCAAAATGGACCTTACAAACAAAGGAGGAAAGTGAAAAGCCACTTTCCTCCGTATCAAACACTTACCCTGGAGCCCCTCAACCAGCCTTGTTGAGAATCCTGGGTGACAGATTGCCACACTGTCACAATATATATATATATATATATATATATATATATATATATATATATATATTTCTTTGCCATAATCTGTTACATCAGTTGTTTTCGACTCCTTCTTTCCCCAAAATGTGTAGACTAAACAGCACTGTTATAGATATGCAGATTTGGACTTTTGTCCAAAAGTACATCAATGGTCAATAACATTGATATTGACCTAATAAGCTTACTTCTGGGTTCATCCAAACATGGGTTCAGACCAAACCCAAGAGCATCTTTACCCTTGACCAGCGATGAGCTCAGGCATGTTCGGATAAAGTCTGAACCTGCATGATCTATCCCACCAGGAAGATTTCAAAGCTGATAATCATAGGCAGTGGAGGTATACCCTGTCCTGAAGTTGCACGTATATAAGGGTTGTGTATGCATGCAGTTGCAGGTGGAGAATGCTTCTGCAACCTATGATTGCCTGTCCACTTTGAACCCACCAGAGCTATCCTACCAGGAAGCAGTCAGACGCTTGTTTTATGCAAACTGTTAGAGCCAATTGGTTGTTTCGCAGGCTGGCTGGTAAGTGTTGCTGTGAATTATTATTTTATTTGCGATGTGTATTGCCTTCCATGTGCACCTTACTGCTAAGGCTGGTTATAGGTTGGGACGGTTGCCATTTTTTTGTGTAGTTGGTTAATTTGGATACAGGGACGCACTGGATGCCTTTGCTCTCATTTTGCTATAGCTGGGCATCACGTGCATCCCTGTACCTTTTTTTAAGGAGGGATGAGCTCCTCCAGACACACCTGCCCTTAACTTATCCATTTATACATGTGCTCCTATTATGGAGGCTTTGGAAATTTTAGTTCTATCCACAGTATACAAAGGACCCTTGAGGTGGGACTGTGGCATATGGATGCGTTTGCGCATTAAAAAACGGGGGTTTGTTTGCACACATTTTCAAACTGTTAGGGCCAAATTGGTTTTCGCAGGCTGGCTGGTAAGTGTTGCTGGGACTCTTGTCTGAACTCACCTGAGCTAATCTTTGGTCAAGAGTTTAGAATGAGCTTTGATTTGGTCTGAACTCATGTTCAGCAGAACCCAGAAGAAAGTTTTATTAGGTCAAAGGTCAATGTCATTGACCCTATATGGCCATGTGGTTATATTAGGTCAATGTTGTAGGGACCATCCCTGCCCCTTTGTGAAGGTGCAGGTGTGGTGTAGGGAATGCCTGTGCCTCAGCTGAAGCTTCATTTTGGGTTCGGCCGTACATGAGTTCAGACCAAGCTCAAACTCGTCCCTAGTCAAGAGCCAAGTCCTCATCTCAGTTTTTAACCACTATCCCATGGCTTCTTACTAATGCAATGAGCCAGGGCACATGACTTTTATGTCAAGATGTGATGGATAACCTGGCTTCACCTTCTCTATAAGATGCAAAATGGTGGCAGCTAGTAGGGGAATAACGAGGTTTTGGGGGCAGATGCGAACAGAGTTTGTGTATCAGTGAGTTATTTATGAACTATATATTTAATTCTATATGCAAAGGTAAGGATTGCTTTCAGTTGATCACTTAAGTCATTTTCTGAAGTGGATCTCTTTGTTCGTCATGTTCTTGTGACAGTCGGAGAGTAACGCACTTTAAAAGTGACTGTATTTGTGTATTGTACAATGCGGTTTAATGAATGAAAGCCGGATTTTAGAGCGACATCAGTTGTGCAGATCATCTTTATGGACTACAACTTTCAGATGTGCAGCTGCGGATCAAACACCCATGAGCTCTATTGATACAACACTTAATATGTAGCAGCAGTAGACATTCTGTTTTTGCTAACTTAATAATGGCACCCGCAATGATATGATGGTACATATTTAAAGATAATAATTATTTTCTGTTTTAGGTCGAATTAACAGGACACAGCATCTTTGACTTCCACCCACCCCTGCGATCACGATGAGATTAGAGAAAATCTCAGTTTGAAATGTGGTATGTTTGTTTGTATTTGAATTTCCAAAACTATTTTTCTCTACAGCTTTAGTTATTATTATTATACAGTATTTATAAAGCGCCAATAGTTCGCTCAGCGCTGTATATTACAGGGGGAAGAACATGGGACAGAACAATACCAATACAATGCAAAACATGAGGGGATTGAGGGCCCTGCTCTTTCGAGCTTACAATCTAGGAGGGAGGGGATGGTGGCACAGGAGGAGATAGCTGTGGGGGATGGAGTGGTAGGAAGAGTGGAGGAGGTCGGCAAGTTAGCAGGGGGTGGGGTAGGCTTCCCTGAAGAGATGGGTTTTCAGGGTGCACCTAAAGGAGAGGAGAGTAGGTGATAATCTGATGGGTTGGGGCAGGGAGTTCCAGAGGATGGGTGACACCCTGGAGAAGTCCTGGGGCGGGCATGGGAGGAGGAGACCAGAGAAACTAGAGAGAAGGAGGTCTTGTGAGGAGCGGAGTGTGCGTGCTGGGTGGTACTTGGATATTAGGTCAGTGATGTAGTTCGGGGCAGTATGGTGGACAGGTTTGTACGTCAGCGTTAGATTTTGAATCTGAATTAGTTACATTGCTTACCTGTAATATAAATGTCCCACAGTGTGCAGGCTGCTGGATTCTGTAGAATTCTTCACTCCAGGGCTGCCCTGTCCTCTTCCTGCTGCTGAACTTTCAGCGCTCTTGGAGTTAACAGTTTCAGGTCTCCGGGTCTAAATTGAATCACAGTCAGGATTGCTGCAACAAGTCAGTACATCAGAGTATGACTGTGCTTTAATATGGAAACATTTTCTTTGTAATTTATGCATGATCAGCTAAAGTCGTGATACAAAAAAATCCCAAGTTGGCAGGAAGTGGTGATAGTTAAAATTCTGTCCTCACTGAACTAATTTAGTTGCTTTTGACCTAACAGACCCAACGTTGCCAAATTTGTGGGCTGTGAAATTATCTGATTTGTCTGATCACAGACAGATCTGGACATCCTATGATCAAACTTATTGTGTCCTGGACCATGGCAGACCAAGACTAAACAGCAGCCAGGCTAAATCTTCTCTATGTCTTCTCTGCCCAGCCAGAGTGCCGCTGCCAACCAAGTTCAATTATGAGGACCAGGTGCAGGATATATATAGAATGCTGGGAGTTGTACTGGTTTTTTTTTTTTTTCTTTTTTTTTGTTGGGGGGTTGGCTGGTGTTGAGGTGCTCTTTCCTTCCCCTTTGCTAATTGCTTGACATACTGAAATGCCATTCTGGGCCAGAATCCTAATTGGAACCAAGTACACATATAATAATTTGTTATGAGTCAAGGAGGGTACACACGCGAAGGCTGTTTGGCTGCATACAATGGATTTCAGCGGCAAGAATCAGTGGATTCTTGCCGGTGGAATGAAAGGTACATGTGAATAGCAGCGATCACCCAGCCTATATAAACTGACAGGCTGACAGCTGCCACCGCTGTTTTGCATGTAGCCACACACTAAGCCATTAAAGTGTTACTAACCCAGGACTCTGCATTCACTATATCTGGTCTCCCACAGTGCACGGAACGTGGAAATGCAATTATATTAGTAAATATAAATTGCTAAATACCTTTTCTCATCAGCAATTAGAGCAGTCTTGTGTCCAGCAGAGCACTGATTAAAGCTTACAGGAGGAGTTTTCATTCTCCCCTGATTGTCCTATAAGGCTGTAGGACCCCTAACCCTCTGTCTGGACAGTGCTGACCGGCCCCTGTGCTGATCACATGCACTCTCCCAAGAAAAAAACAAAAAAAAAAACTCTCTAGCAATACACACCAAACTGAGCATGTGCAGCTTGCCCCCAAGGCTCTGTTCTATCAGCAGATGGATTGGGGACAGTAGAAGGGGAGAATCAGAAAACAGGATCAAACATCCTTTTTTACACAGTGCAGAGGATTAACCCCTTAGCATCTACAGTGACTATATCAAGCATGCTTTACTGCATATACAGATTGATTTTACTGTTGTGGGTTTAGATAGATGTCAGCTGCATTCAGGCTTGGACAACTGTCTCAAACTGCTGATTCTTACCACTGGAACTTGGTGTATGCAGTTAAACAGCTCTGTGAAGGTGGCCTAACAATGAGCACCTATTTTGGGCTGTTACTTTAATGCATACCATTGAAACATTTTGTTTTCAGTCTTAGAAAGTATTATTTTACCGAAAGAGTAGTCAATACTTGGAGTAGACTTCGAGCAGAGCTAGTGAGTTGGTCAACTGTAAGTGGATTCAAACATGTTCATGGGACAAATATAGATCTATACTCCAAAAAAACAAAACAAAAAACCCCTTTAACTCAAAAAAAAAAAATGGGGCAGACTCAGTGGACCACTTAATCTTTTATCTGCCTTCACTTTTCTGTTTCTATATCTGTTTAACAAGTGCAAAGCATACCTGCTGATCTGATATAAATCTTGTTAGCTGATAACATCCTTTCTCTGATCCTCTGGTGATTATCAGTTACCTTGCTCCCAGCTATCTCCGGGGACTACAAAACCCTGCCCCTCTGTGTATAGGAGATGAGGGGAGTAGAAGGACGGGTGTGTTTGTTGTCCAAATCATATATATACCTTTTTGTGATATATTAGAATAAATAAATTAAATAAACATAAATTTAAACATAAAGTGTACAATAAAATCCAATAAATCAGTAAAAGTGTCCAAAAAAGTCCAAACAGTGTCCAAAAAATTTCACAAATTTTCAAACTTTTTCATCCAATAGAAGGATTAACTCCTTTTCCATCCAATATGCACCTCAAAGTAAAAAATACAAAATCTAGTGCATTACCTTAATAAATAAAAATAATCACCCCGTGCAAATCACAATTCAATTAAAAAAGATTTGTGCAACAGAGAGAGAGAGAGAAAAAAAAAAAAAAATTTATATATATATAATATATATATATATATATATATATATATATATATATATATATATATATATATATATTTAAGTAAAATAAATTATTTCAATCCAAATTGCTTTCTTATAGTGCATATAATCACATAAATCACACTGTGAGCACTCAGTGATCACTACAACTCCGTGTATACCATCAACCAGCACACAGTAGTACTAAATACTATTACCCTTTGTGAGTATTGAAATACTAAGCAATACTATGGATCAGTACTCCTCCATATTCTCTTCAAAGATATTTTTCCAAGGTCCTCAGAAAGATAAGAATGGTCTCAAGACTGGTATTCAAAGCATAGAAATAACTTTTTATTAATCACTTACATTAAAATTCAAGATTTTCAGCTCCAGACATGGTTCTAAACTCAATCCACCAAACCATGTGGAAAACCATGTGTGGATAACCGACAAAATGGCCGCGGCGACACTTCCGGTCTGCGTACGTGCGTCTTGACGTCCCTCCTCTAACGCGTTTCGTCACTTCCGGACTTCGTTTATTTAATTTATTAGAATATATCACAAAAAGGTGTATATATATATGATATTGCACTTTCTAGGGAGGAAGTATTGACTTTTTGAGGGATTATAAAGGGGAAGGGTGAATATTGATTTTGTTGTCCAAATCAGTAGGGCAGTTTAGGGCAGCCTTATTCAACCTCTTTAATATGCAATTGTCAAAAGATCTTTGTGCAAACCAATGTGAAATCCCACTCGCCAAACAATTGTCCTACTAATTATGATTGCAGCTATCACTGACATATTTCTCACATCAATCAGATTCTTCTATATTTATAAAGTAGTCCAGTGCAGTCTTTTCTTCTACATAACACTGAATAATTATAAGGCTCCATGCACACTTGGCGTTTCAATAACGCTGGTACCGTTAGCTGTGTAAAGTCACGTTAAAAACGTGAGTTTTTTTAGCATTTTTGTATTAGCGTTTAGCAGCGGTTTTTGCATTTGCATTTTTTTTTGGTCAAAAAAAGTCCAAAAACACTGGTTTGCTGCGTTTTTCAGCGTTAGAGAATTTTTAAAGCTAAAAAACCCTTTAGAAACCCACTAATTCTGGGTTTTTTTTCCATCCAAAAAACGCCCCTGCTAAAAAAACGTTGATTCCAGTCTGTGTGCATGGGCACATAGGATAACATGCTGGGGAGTTTACTGGCTGTAGAAAAAAACATCAAAAGCCAAAAACAGCCACTGTAAAAACGTCCCGTGTGCACGAGGACTAAATCATTGTATTTAAAAACTGAAAATACATTTTTGTGTGTGTGTGTCCTTTTTTGCTAGCAGTCCATGTATTCAATGTCCAAATGTAAAAACCTCCATGCTTGTAGCCAAACTTCAACATCCACTGCTTGTTATATCCTCCGGGGGAGTCCCACCACCATTCACTACATGCCCTCACCTCTGCTCCATTGACCTATATACATAAATATATTTTTGTGCATTTTTATTCTTCCACAACCTTGATGATATTTGCTGCCTTCTCCTCCACCCCAGATGTAATCTTCAGTTCTATATTATTACAATGGCCTCGAATCAGCATGCAACAGTGACGTCTCCGCTCAAAAAAACAACAGTGCTTCACCTTCTTTTTATACTACTTTATCCCGATAAAAAAACAATAGAAATACCACTCACAATGCTGGTGCACTTTAAATCCTAGTGCACACTGTAATATCGCTTTAAAAATGCATGAGGATGTCCCCTAATGTCTGAGGATCTGCATTCACTTACTGGGCAAACTCCGGCCGTCGCTTCTGGTGTGGCGTGATGTCACGATGCTCCGTCCGACGCGTTTCGTCACGCCTGTGACTTTCTCGAGGGTATCAGGAGCCTGGAGGATATAACGAGCAGTGGATGTTGCAGTTTGGCTATAATCAGGGAGGTTGTTGATTTGGGAATTTTAATGTAAATTTAGTTATGTAGACTAACAAAAGGACATACAATTAAAAAAAAACTGAACAAAAGTACAAATAAAAAAAATTGTGAAAAAATTATTTTTGTGTAAGTGCACATTTCAGTATGATGATTTCAAAATATTCACAGTGTTACATTTATACACTAATACAGCACAATCTCTTCTTCTACACAAGTATCTTTTTAACATGGAGGAAACCTTGTAATACTTTTCCTGACTCAGGGACCTTGGGTAATATCTACTGTATCTACAGCTCACAGTGGTTATTAGGGGGTTGCTCCTCACATATGTGGTCAATGGGAAGAATCAACCTATTACAGACAGATAAAAAGTTAATTGGTGTCAGTGGGAACTTCTCTGAGAGGCAGTAATTGCTCACGGAACCCCTAGCAACCTCTGGAGGGACCCTAGAATTCCACAGAACCCTGATTGAGAAAGGCGAGCTTAACCCCTTCACGCGGGATCGTCCCGGCGTGCAGTTCCTGCGCCAGGAGGTGGACGGGGCGTGGCTTAGTGTCGTGGCCGCCGTGACATCACAGCCGGTCACATGATCAGGAAAGGTCTTGATCGAAAGAGCGGACCGGGACCTTTCCGTGAGTACCTCACATGTGTGCGGGGAGCACGCAGGGCACGCGCTCTCAGCGCATATGTTTTTTGCTACATGAACGCAAATGTGCGGCCACTCGGCGTCTAGGCCCAGACGCTGGGAGGCCACAAATTTGTGTGCGGCCGGCGTGAAGGGGTTAAGCTGACCATACATTATACAATTTTCTTGAGAATTTCGCTTTAGATTTACCAAAAACCATATAATATGAAGTGAAACCTAAACAACACTTTCAATTGTATTCAATCAGGCAGGCCCTTGCACTGCATAGTTGAAGGTAAATCTAAAGGAAATTGCACAGAAAATTGTTAAAAAATTGTACAGTGGATGGGCCAGCCTTAGGGTGACAACACTGATTCTCCATAGACACAGTATGGTATGTGATTGATTGTTGTTACTCGGAGACAACACAGGTGTTATTGGCAGGTAATAAGAAAGCAGGAAAAAAAAGAAAAACCTACAACTAATGCAGCCACCGCATCTGACTGGTATGCTAAAATATATTATATTTTTGTTCCTGGTTTTAAATACACTTGAATCGTACCTCGATGCTACAGGGACAACAAACCTGGTTGTAATAATGCATTGCTATGTATGCTGGTAAGATTAAATTCCTATTTTCAACAAAAATGTTTAACTATATATCGTCTAATGTAATACTGTATGAATGAACCATATCGCACTTCCTTGGTTTTCTCTGAAAAATGTAATAAAAATATTGAAACATAAATTCCTATTTTCATTTTGTAAAGTGCTGTGCAAACTATTGGTACTATATAAATCCTATTTAATAATTCTAATATTAATCATTTTATTGACACGGTCTGTTTTAATTTAACATTAAAGGTGCGGGATTAAGCAAGAAGAGCAAAGAGGCAAGTACAGAACGGGATTTTTTCATGAGGATGAAATGCACTGTCACCAACAGAGGCCGAACCGTGAATCTGAAATCTGCTACCTGGAAGGTAAATAGATGTTTATTTACAATGGAAGAAAATACCAGCAAACCTTTATAATGTCAGGTTATGTGTGTGTTTTTTTTTTTTTTTTTTTTTTTTTAAGCAAGAGCTGCAAGTGTCTCTCCTAATTTAAAAAACTCCCTGCTGACAGCTGATTTATTTATTATAGAAGGGAAAGGGTTTACTGCTGCTGGGGATTGCAGTGTGTGTCATAGCTAGTTGATCTGTAGATGCTGCTTTAGGCTTCGTTTCTTGCAACACGCTCAACCTTATGTTTGGAACATTATATACTCCCTCTAATAATTCAACGAACGGCAAACTATTTATGATGGAATTTTTTTTTTTGAGTATTATCAGTTGCATTTTTTTATGTTACTCTTATTACAGATATGTTTTTTTTGCCCAGAGCTGTTTTGGCACAGAAAAGAAGATTCTGTAGTAGATTTTAGGGCCAATTCACACTTGTGTGCAGGGGCGGACTTACCATTTGGAAACTCTGGCACTGCCCGAGGGCCTGGGGTCAGTAGGGGGCCCCATGAGATGCCCCTGGTACCTTTTTCATAGGCTTTTTTGAGTTTGGGCAAGGACACGGGCCCCATGATCCCCTATTGCCCGGGGCCCCATGAGTTGTCAGTCCGCCCCTGCTTGTGTGTACTGGAAAGCACGTGCTTTAACATATGCGTTTGCATTATGGGGGAGGGGTGCTTTTTATTTTTTCTCTGGGAAAGGACCAAACCAATTATCTAGTGCCCATTAAAGTCACAAATAACTAAAAATGGAATAAAAAAACAACTTAAAATACAGAAGCGCACTGGAGAGGATCAGGCCTGCTTTTTTTGCACTGGTTGTGAATGTGTCTAAATGCACAAAGAGCATGCCTGCACTACTTTGGGAATATTCACACACTTGCGCTGCAGCTCACCACAATGCCAAGGGCGATAATACTCACTGCTGTATGTATGCAATGAGCTGCACTGCCATTCAGAATGCATTTGTTACCTCTCAAAGCCAGCCTAAAAGGTACTGTACACTCCAGTCAAGCAGAATATTTCTTGGCTTCACTCAGCGTCATTGAAGGGGAGGTTGCTGCCCAAAGACTTTGTGTTGATCCTGGTAAATAAAACTTTTATTACAGAATAGATCTTAGGACTCTTTTTAGTGGTAGGTGTGTCCATTTTTTCTGTTTTACAAACTGTTTATTAAAGAAAATCACAAATACAAAAGGTCTATTACAAATATGGGTATATGACAAAATGGTCCTATCATTTTTCTTTCTCTTCGGATCTTTTTGTAACATCGTTTGCTTACAAAGCCATGCATTGAGATGCCTGAAGGATAAGACTATGGTACAAAATACGAACCAATACAGGACAAATAGACCTTTTTAAATGCATGATAACAATAAAAAAATCGTATAAGAGAATATTGCTGAGTAAATGTAAAAAAAATTGGTATGATGTCCATGTGTCCCATTTTAGCATTAAAGTAATTGTAATTTTTTTAAATTAACAAACATGTTATTCTTGCTTGCTCTGTGCAATGGTATTGCACAGAGCAGTGCCAATCCTCCTCTGGGGTTCCCCGCTGGCACTCCTTGGCTCCATCCCCCCCCCCTCTCCCATTGAGTGCTGTGGGGGCACTGGTGTGTGCTCGCTCCCAAGGGAGTTGTGTGTGTCCATAAAACACTCAGAAAGGGGCTCAGCCCTGCACCCCCACTCCTAGTCACTGGCTCGGATTGACAGCAACGGGAGCCAATGGCTCCTGCTGCTGTATCTGAGCCAATGAGGAGTGAGATAACTTTAAAAGCCTTCGCTCTCATGCACATTACTGGATAGAGATGTATTTAAGGGTTTGGGAGAGAATCTGCATGCAGAAGGTTTTTTTACCTTGATGCAGAGAATGTAGTAAAATAAAAAATCTTCTGCACTTACACCCACTTTAAATTGCCACACAGAATCATTCAATGTGTGAAAAAAAAACGCTCCATTGCCATATTAGAGTAAATCTGGGAGGAAATTTGGGGAAATGGAAGGTGTTTCCATTTTTGACAACCATCTCATTGATTATGTGCAATTTAACCAATGGGAGCACCAAACAAGCATCCTAGGATTCCAAAGTGTTTTGTTGATGCCACAAGAAAGCAATAGGCCAACACATTTCGGCGGCCAAAAATCCCCCTTCATCATGGCTTCAAGAAATAAGAAAATTGGAATAAGAACTTTTGAGAAACATTGAGTAAAGACTAATATTAATCAACCCAAAAGTTAAATGTCCATGAAGCATTGCAAAATAACTGAATGCGGAAAGGCTTCTTCACAGTAAAAGCTGTGAAAATGTGGAATAAACTCCCTCAAGAGTTGGTTCTGGCCAGCAGTAGATTGATTGTTTTAAAGTCCTGGATTCTTTCCTAGATACACAGAATATAACTGGATACTAACATCTACAGTATAGGTAGAGTTGATCCAGGGATTATCCGATTTCCTCTTGGGGGATCAGGAATGAATTTTTTCCCGGCAAGGAGCAAATTGGATCATGCTCAAGAGTAAATTATTTAGGCCATAAATTCTTCAATTTAAAAAAAAAAAAAAATTAAAAATGATGCTAAACCAACACATTTAATCTCATGATTACATTTTAGGGTTTGATATATATTTTGGGTGAATCCTACTTTTGGTGGTTCTTTTGCCACCTTTGACTGATTATTAATTTTTAATTCTCTTATCACTTTTGGGTGATTATTCTTGTCCTTTGAGCATCAGTGATTCTCACATTTGTTTTTAGGGTATCTGATATAAGGTTTTGGAGAAAAGGTTTTTGATGTTTGTACTTTTCAAGGGTGAAAGGTTGACTTTTCTTTGCGGATTATTGAAGAGTTCTGATAATTGTTCGCTATATCCGGTCTCCCCGGGCCCTGCAGTCGCTGTATCCGGTCTCCCCGGGCCCTGCAGTCGCTGTATCCGGTCTCCCCGGGCCCTGCAGTCGTCGCTGTATCCGGTCTCCCCGGGCCCTGCAGTCGCTGTATCCGGTCTCCCCGGGCCCTGCAGTCGCTGTATCCGGTCTCCCCGGGCCCTGCAGTCGCTGTATCCGGTCCTCCCCGGGCCCTGCAGTCGCTGTATCCGGGGCCCGCATCCGGTCGCTGTATCCGGTCTCCCCGGGCCCTGCAGTCGCTGTATCCGGTCTCCCCCGGGCCCTGCAGTCGCTGTATCCGGTCTCCCCGGGCCCTGCAGTCGCTGTATCCGGTCTCCCCGGGCTGTATCCTGCTGCAGTCGCTGTATCCGGTCTCCGGTCTCCCCCGGGCCCTGCAGTCGCTGTATCCGGTCTCCCCGGGCCCTGCCCTGCAGTCGCTGTATCTGGTCTCCCACAGTACACAGAACATGGAAATGGAATTATTTTAGTAAATATAAACTGCTAAATCCCTTTTCTCATCAGCAGTTAGAGCAGTCTTGTGACTTCTTTCGGTGTCCAGCAGAGCAGTGGTTAAAGCTCATGGGAGTAGTTTTCATTCTCCCCTGATTGTCCTATGCTGCAGGACTCCTGACCCTCTGTCTGGACAGTGCTGATTGGCTCTATGCTGATCACATGCACTCTCCCAAAAAAAAACTCTGTAGCAATACACACCAAACAGAACAGAGCCTTGGGGGTAAGCTGCACATGCTCAATCAGCAGATGGATTGGGGACTGTGGAAGAAGGGGAGGATCAGAGAAGACAGGATCAACATCCTTTTTAGACAATGCGGAGGATTAACCGCTTAGGTTCCACAATGAGTATAACAAGCATGCTTTACTGCATATACAGACTGATTTTACGGTTGTGGGTTTAGTAACAGAAACTGTGTATCCAGTGCCGCATTTCTACCCTTTCTTGGATCTTGCTGATTGACAACTTTGCTCCCTTCTGTCAGGTACTTCACTGCACCGGCACCGTGAAGGTGTACAACTCTTACAATCCGCACACACTCTGTGGCTACAAAGAGCCTCTGCTGAATTGTCTGGTGATGATGTGTCAGCCAATCCAGCACCCCTCCAACATCGACATCCCGCTGGACAGCAAGACCTTCCTGAGCCGCCACAGCATGGACATGAAATTCACATATTGTGATGACAGGTGAGGGCCACCAAAACTCTGAATTTCTATTGCAAAATTCTGTTTCTGTGTGTAGAGGGCAGAGGAGCTGTTTGCACTTTCATCTGTCCCTAAAAACGTGATTTTGTGTGATGTCATCCTGTTTGAAAAATAAAGGGGATCTCTACTCTAGCTCTACAGTTATCCAGTTCCAACCATGAGAATGCAACAAGAGTGCCAAGCCAAGGGCCAGGAGTCTAAAATACCTTGGTAGTTATTTAGAGACAAATTCAATGTATCTCAGGTGCCACAAGCTCCCCTCCCTCAAGACCTCAACGCCGTGGTCGTTAATTGATTCTTCCTTTCAGTATATCTGCTTGCCCATACATCCTGTACAAACAAGCAGATATTCTGACAGATCTGCAGGAGACCTGCATGGCACCAGCAATCTGCTGATCGCTGGTGAAATGCTTTACAGGCTCCTGCAGACAAAAATAATAAATGCACATTTTTTTTACCTGCAAAAAAGTGCATTTATTTTTTGCTTAAAGGTGAACTTCTCCTTTAAACAGTGAATATGAATTTAAAGAAAATAACTCCTGTTGCAGGCTGCTTACCGTATATACTCGAGTATAAGCCGACCCGAATATAAGCCGAGGTACCTAATTTTACCACAAAAAACTGGGAAAAACTATTGACTCGAGTATAAGCCGTTGGTGTCAGTGGGGGGAGGAATAGTGCCCCATCGTTGGTGTCAGTGGGGGGAGGAATGGTGCCCCATCGTTGGTGTCAGTGGGGGAGGAATAGTGCCCCATCGTTTGTGTCAGTGGGGGGAGGAATAGTGCCCCATCGTTGGTGTCAGTGGGGGGAGGAATAGTGCCCCATCGTTGGTGTCAGTGGGAGGAGGAATAGTGCCCCATCGTTGGTGTCAGTGGGGGGAGGAATAGTGCCCCATCGTTGGTGTCAGTGGGGGGAGGAATAGTGCCCCATCGTTGGTGTCAGTGGGGGGAGGAATAGTGCCTCATCGTTGGTTGTCAGTGGGGGGAGGAATAGTGCCCCATCGCCCCATGGTGTCAGTGGGGGGAGGAATAGTGCCCCATCGTTGGTGTCAGTGGGGGAGGAATAGTGCCCCATCGTTGGTGTCAGTGGGGGGAGGAATAGTGCCCCATCGTTGGTGTCAGTGGGGGAGGAATAGTGCCCCATCGTTGGTGTCAGTGGGGGGAGGAATAGTGCCCCATCGTTGGTGTCAGTGGGGGGAGGAATAGTGCCCCATCGTTGGTGTCAGTGGGGGGAGGAATAGTGCCCCATCGTTGGTGTCAGTGGGGGAGGAATAGTGCCCCATCGTTGGTGTCAGTGGGGGGAGGAATAGTGCCCCATCGTTGGTGTCAGTGGGGGGAGGAATAGTGCCCCATCGTTGGTGTCAGTGGGGGGAGGAATAGTGCCCCATCGTTGGTGTCAGTGGGGGAGGAATAGTGCCCCATCGTTGGTGTCAGTGGGGGGAGGAATAGTGCCCCATCGTTGGTATTAGTGACACCAATGATTGGGCACTATTCCTCCCACTGACACCAATGATACTTACCTTGCTGACCCCTGCTCCAGCCTGGGCTCGCTCGCTCCCTCCCTCCCTCTCCCATGGTACACGCTTAGCGGTCAGATGTCTTCCTTCTCCGGCCGCTCTCCTGCTCTTCACTCGCTCGATCTTCGTGGTGCCGCTCGGCTGCTCCTCCTCCAAGCTCCACCTCCTCGCCGGTGATTGGGCGCCTGTGTGCCTCTCCTGAGCTACAGTTCCGGCGGCCAGTCACCGGCGAGGATTGATCCCAGGGGTGTGTCCAGATGACAGGGGCGGCATGTCATCCCGCCCACACCTGGAGACGTTGACTCGAGTATAAGCCGAGGGGGCCGTTTTTTTTCAGCACAAAAAATGTGCTGAAAAATTCGGCTTATACTCGAGTATATACGGTAATTATTATTATTATAATACAGGATTTATTTAGCGCCAACAGTTCGCTCCGTGCTTTACAAAATGAAGGTAGACATTACAGTTACAATACAATTTGGTACAAGAGGAAACAGAGGGCTTAATCATACATCCATTAACACTGGGAAGACTTCAGACTATACAGCTGAATACCATTTTTTTAAAATCCTGAACAGTTTTGGATTTATTTTTTTTTGTATGTTGCTAAAGAACTAATAACTCATTTCAGATCTGTAACCTTTGACTCGGCGCTCCTGTTGTATTCTTGTGCTTTGAGTTGCTTCCTTGGTACCCATTAGAGGGAATCCTTGATTTATGTGAGTAGCTGAGATGGAGATAGTGAGCTCATTAATTAGTGCATTTTCTTCACTCCTAAAAAAAGAAGTAATTGATTTCATTCTATGGCTCACTTTAACAGAGGCTCTCCCAGTGTTTTTATTTTCTGCTGATAAAATTGTAGTTGGCTGTCAGCTCCTGTAGGGTCACATCCCTTTCGTGCTGTTAAACCACCAACATTGCTTTTTAGAACAACATAGTATTAGGTAGAATTACAGACATCTATGGTATTTTAAAGTGGAACTTCCATCTCTCAATCAACATTGACTATTTTTAATCCTTATACTGCTAACATTAGTAAATGGATAGGAAAGTAGATCATATTTACTTGTTTTAAATTTGTTTTTTTTCCATTACTTCCTGGTTTCCATGCCTAGGCAAATGTCATACATCCCAGAAGTCTTCAGGAGGGGAGGGAGGGTTTTCAGCTCAGCCAATGCCTGAGCGGAGGGCAGATGGATTCCAGGAAGTATGCTTTATGAATCATCTGCCCTTACTCAAGATGGCCACTGCCAGAAATGCTAGGGAGGTGTTTTTCAAAATGATTTCCCGGCAAAATAAAGCATGGAGACCCGGATGGACGGGTGAGTTTGCTTTGGATATTAACAATGAATTAAATAGCATTTTGATACATGGCACTCGGATGCAGTGCAGTTCCACTTTAATAATAAGATTGATGGTGGGCCATCTAAAATACATTAAAGTGGAGTTCCAATCAAGCTGTCAGCAGCTACAAAAATGGTTCCGCGGTGTGTTCCCTGCAGCCCGTTTCATAGGCTGTCTTGTGTTCCAGGAGGCCGGCATCTTCAGTGTGGGCACCCGGCTGTGATAGCTTGCGGCTTCACAGCCAGGTAACCACTGCGCATACGCGAGTAGCGCTGCGCTTTATGAATTGTCCTGTAGTCTTCTGGGACCTGTCACGTGTCCCAAAAGACTACAGGGAGGGAGGACAACGTCTGCTAGGCGATCGGACCAGAAGTGGGAGCGGGTACCTGTCAAATTCGTGTACCCACTCCCCCGCCCCACAAAGGGGTAATTTAATGTGTGTTAAAAGTTAAAACCCTTGTTTCAAGGTGTAGCAGTATATATACAAGGGATCAGCCATTTTGATTCCATCAGTTATCCTTCCTCTGCCTCCTCCTTAGTAATGCTGAACCGTGCTTTCTGATCCCCTCACTGCATACATTAAAAAATGTGTTAAATGTGGGATGTTTCTTGCTAACTCACCTGAAATTCAAGATTCAGGTGGCCACTTTTCTTGTGAAAAGGCCATTTGAATAATCTGGTGGAAAATCTAGTCTGAACGGTGACTGCGTCCTATTGGATACAGACACTGTTCAGGTATTCAGACAGCCGTGGTGCCTGAAGACCATAGCCATCAGAGGAGAGCCTCCATCTATGCTCTTAACATACAGTAGATCAGTTGATTTAATCAAGCCATCTATGGGAAGGGGTGGGGGGGTCTTTAGATATGTCTCTTATTACATCCATAATATCCATGAGCCATACCGGCGGCTGTTTTTTTTTTTTTTTTGTTCTTTTTTTTTTTTTTTCATACTTCTTTCGTACGTGGCATTCTACAGATTTATGTGAAATGTACATTTTTATAATAGGTCCAGTTTAATGTGGCATAACTGTTAATACAGCAGGAAAACCTTTTGTGTGGCAGGACATTGAGGTTAGCTACTGTATCTTTACAGTGTATGATAAAAGCGTACTTTTTTTTATTGATCGTATTATAAGTCTTCTATAAAGATATATGTTCTAGAGATTGGTAGCTCAGCCGACATATGATACAAGGTAGTAAAAAAAAATGTAGTCTCTGCTTTACGATGTAAAACAAAGGTTTACCTTTTATTGGGTAATCTACTTACATCTGACACACTGGTGAGTACGGGCAACAAGGACAGAGGACTGGTGTCTTCGTGAGATCTGTTAGGCGATGGTTTGCTTTCGCTTTGCTTTCTGTGGGTTGTGCCTTTGGACAAAGGTCATTTTATCTATAATAATAGGAAACAAAGGAGCGCCCGACTTCCAAAAAGAATGCAAGTTTTTTGGTAGATTAAGAGGCATTTACAGGCATACTACGGATTATGAATTTAATTCGTTCTGCGGGACTTTTCGTATGGTGAAAAATTCATAAAAAATGCAGTTTCCTATAGGAATGCGTTTGAAAACCAATTAATCCGTTCCGGAGGTCAGAAAAAAGTAAAACAAGTCTTATCTGTTCAAAACTCTTTATAAAGTGCACTTTAAAGGCATACTGTACAGAGACATGATTAAAAAATTAATTCGTAAAAGCACTGAAAACCAATTAATCCATTCTGGAGGTCAAAAAAAAGTTTTATCTGTTCAAAACTCTTTATAAAGTGCACTTTAAAGGAATAAATACTGTACAGGAACATGATTAAATATTAATTTGTAAATGCATTGAAAACCAAAAAATCCATTCTGGAGGTCAAAAAAAAGTTTATCTGTTTTTAAAACTCTTTATAAAGTGCATTTTTAAAGGCATAGTACTGTACAGGAACATGATTAAAAAAAAATTCATAAATGCATTGAAAAGTAATTAATCCGTTCGAATTGCGAGACAAAATTGGTAAACCAAGACATTATTTTCAATGGATTTTCATACATAAACCGAAAATTACGTTAACCGAGGCATTCGTAAACCGAGGTACGCCTGTATTGAGAATAACGAATACATCAAGCCAACACGTTCCAGGAG